ACTCATGAACACTAATGCTTTACTTTACTTCGGTCGCATGAAACATCTGTCACGAATAATTTGGGCTTAACCCGAGTTAACAGTACCTATTAGTAAGATAAAGTTGCTTAGATGAACGATACTGGTTGACTAAGAGCACGAAATTAGCTTTAGACAGCGTTCAAACTTCGCGATGCGATCGCGTGACCATGACGGAGCGCTCCCCGAAAATCGGTGAATCGTCCCTACGACAGAATTTAAATGGGCCGGGTTCATACACCGAACACGGCCCGGCCCAACTCGAGTCATATCGTTGCGACGATCCATCGATTGGCGTTGGAGCGCCCACGGTTATGGTCGCGCGATCAGATCACTTGTGAACCGCTCTTACAGCTTCAAAACAGAAAACTAACAAAAACCTAACCAGAGTTGAGCTTTGCGATTAATTCTCCAAACGGCTTGAAGTTCTTTTGCTTAGACAGGAGCACTTGAAAAGCATCTTTCGACTCAACCATCATGTTCATTTGATCACTGGGTAATTGGTCTTTCAGTTTAGCCATGATATCGTCCTCCTAGAAGAATCGATAGGGCCCAATGATTACAACTGCTATAACTGCCACCGAGTGTTCAACCCTACCTTCATGTCCTTCTCCACAGTAGATACAGAAGTAGAAAACGATATTTCTGGATATAAAAACATGGATGCGTCTGTATAATTCAAATTAATCTGCAGATCATCGTAACCATAGATGGTTTCCCTGAAGCAAAACTGTTTCTCATTTAATCCATATCCTCGAAATGAGAAGGGCGTGGGCCTCTTGAACGTGTGGGCGGCTATGCGCTTAGTGTGGCTACTTTGGAAAAATTATAATTACGTCGTTGTGCACCAAGACAGGATGACAGCTGAACGAACGAAAACACTCAAAGAAAAACACATCGCACGCCATATTCAACCGAAATGGGTAACCACGCCCACCCTACCTCCGAGATACTGTGTATGAGCATCCGAAATGCAAACATTAGCAACTTACTTTTCACCAAAGTGTTGATGTGCAAACTCCTGGAGGAAAGCCCTCCACGTCGGCCATTGATTCCCAATTAGGTGCTGAAAATGAAGGATGGATGTTGTTCTTGGTTAGTATGGCATCGTTCAGACTTCGCGACGGCAGCGCTTTGGTCGCGCATTTGACGCGATCGATGCGCATGCTTTCGACTGCATCGATCGCGTCGAACGCGCGACCGAAGCGCTGCCGTCGCGAAGTCTGAACGCTGCCTACACAACTGCAGTCTTTCGTGGCTCTCCTAACCTACCAGTCTCCAATGAGGATGCAAAAACACCGCAGATGCAGGAGAGGTCCGCAATTCAATAGGTCGGTGGACTGTGGTGCGACTGGCATGCGTAGAACTATTCCTCTATACGAAAACGGGTTTCAGCATTTCGTAAGCAGTCATTCATCCATTTCTTCATTCCCTAGGGTCTAGCAGAAATCTATTTCTATCGGTTTGCAGACCTATACTACATCTGCGCCAGCAAATATAAGGCTGCGTTCATACTTCTCGTCGGCGCTTTTGAGTGTTCTGGGCGAAAAGGAAAGTATGGATGTCCATCTAGCATTTTGGGAGAAGCAATGCATAGATACCTACTCCTCTTTTTAGCCCGAAACACTTGACACGCCGACGAATGTATGAACGCAGTCTAAATTATCCTCGGAATCTCACCAAATCGAATCCGAACAGCGTCCAAGGCATTCGTAACGAATCGACTGGCAGACGCTGCAAGGATATTATCTTGTTCCATTTTCACCATCTGAAAGAATTCAGTGACTTTTTCAACAAGTTAGGAGACTCAGAACAAATGGACACAGGAGTGAAAATCATAGAGCTATACTGTTGCAAAAATAATACAACGGTCTGAAATTCTGCCAAACACTTCAAGACTAACCCGGAGAAATCATCAAGCAAGAGAAGATCAGGAAACAAAGAGCAACGCGAACGCTCAATAAAATATTTCTATCCAAGGCCCCTTCACTTCACTGCAATCGGCACGATTTCTTTGCGATAACATGTGATTAGGAAAGCAGAAGATCTATCTGGTGTAGTCATTTCTGCGGTGAAACATATGAATGAAACGGATCTACCCGGAAGAGTCTTCCCACGATGTCCGACTAGGAGTAAAATGCAATGGGAATACTTCAGTCAGAGGTCCGGTATCTACCATAAGGGCAAGAAACTACGGAAGCGTTAACTGTCAAAAGAACTGAAAAGAACAAATTCTGAATGCACGACAACTCATGAATATTGATCCTTCTTTTCCTTCACTGAGCTACAGTGCCCGAAAAACCATAGGTGAAGAAAATCGGCCGCCTGTCCCTGGTGTAGATAGGCCAGATGTAATAGGTCGACGTGTAATAAAGTGCTTCTTAAATTTAAAAAAACCTTTCCTTATCGGGCAGGCGGGCCCGAAAACGACGTCATGGGCTAGGCCCTACTTTTCTCGCTTTCTTTGGTGCAGGAGAGGCACGCAGGTGACGTCGTCCCCGGAACGCGGTCGTCTGCACACTGCTAAGCCTTGAGACTAATTCTAAGCTTTGGGGAACAGACTAAGGCTGCGTTCATACGGTACCTCAGCGTACGGCAACATTTCGAGCAATTCAAACTTCTAGGAAAGCAGAAGCGTTCTGACTGACTAGAAAGTTATGGATATCGATCTCGCGGACTTTTGGTGGGCAGTGGCTCAAAACGCTGACGCAAAGTTTGAACGCAGCCTGACACCGATCGCTCTCGCACGACCAAATTGCGAAGTATGAGCGTACCTTGAGCAACTAAGTTGCAATAATGAAAGCGGACTCTCATGGTAATTCGTAATGACGGCGCAAAACAACGATAAGAACTGAAGGCGAGAAAGGGGGAGACAAAGCTCGAAATTATATCAGGTGACAGAATCACATGGCGGGCCGTGTCAATTCCTGCCAACATTCGCAACAAGCGCAGAGCCATATTGTAGTCCTGTAAAATCTTGTAGACCATCGTTCACGAAACAGAACAACCCCTATCTGCACGAGAGAGTGGTTCCTCACCTCTGAGCTTTTTCAACCAACAACTCAACAGCCTTTAGCCGACAACAGTCCCTTTGCACGTTTCAGCACTTAATATTCGGAAAATGGTGCGAAAAGGAGGCTAAAGCGACTCCGTAGCTTTAAAGAATCCACAGGACTTCACAAAATATCCCGAGACACAAGCAAGAACTAATAATGTGGGCGGTTCGGTGACGACGGAGTGAGGGGGGGGGGCATTTTCCACTTTCACTTCCACTGGTTCCGGTTTACAAGTCTCACTGTGGTGAAACTGTGTAACCTTGTGAAGCCAGAGCAAGTTCGTCGAGTCACCATGGTAAATGGTATTTGTATGGTATTCCATTGCTTCAGAAAAAGTGCCCACTCCCCGTCGCTGAACTGCCCCCAACAAATTGTCACGTCACTCTATGACGTCTTACCATCATAATCGAAAAAAAACTGCAGATTTTCAAATGGCTGCGATTTTCGAAAATGATCCACGGCGGTGGGGTTTGAATCGCGCTACATTCGCGCAAAATGGGGGGTGGAGGCAATCTGCCAAGGACCAACCGAAGTGCTTTGGCGGTGGCCTGCAACGCGTCGCATCCGCGCGCGATGGCCACTTCGAAATGCGACGCCGTCGGGGCTGCAGGCAGGGGCCGGCCCTGCCACGAGTCCTGGCGGTGTCGTGGATTTACTATACCTCGTTTGACTCATAGTTTAATTCAGAGGATTTTTCTGACCACGTTGTGTCTTTGTCCCGTATAAAATACCGGTATAATTTGGTGTCTCGTATTTCGTCATTCCCGCTCACGGTACTTATAGCCTGACCTCACGTCCCGGGTCAGAGACACGTCATGGTCATCACATCCGTCAGCCATGTCCCCTATACTGAAACTTGGCTTGATGCATAATCTTTCGCCAGGACTGCTTTTTGAACTTTATATACGTTTTCCTTACCAAGTTTCTTCACACGTTACAAAATATTTTCTAGACAGTGCTGAATTGTAGTAAAGAGTGTAACAAGTGGCATATTCGGTGAAATATATCACAAATTAATAGTGGTGGCCAGGTCGGCTATGTAGTGAGATTGCGTACTCTTCAAAAAAAGCGTATTGATTCGTGCGGGAAACCAAACTTGCAATCAATAGACTTGTCTAGAATTGCTTATTTCGGCATGAATTCTCGATATTCCAACATGAAAAGCGGAGGGAAGGTCTTCAGATATTTTCCAAATTATCTCTTCTTATGGGTCTGGATCGCTACGATTGGCAGCTCCCAATTACAGAATTTCCCCTCGTTTGCAGCAATTCTATTGGTTTTGGAATTCCTTATGACAGAGGCGGTGCTGTGATCGAGCAGTTGGTTATTTGCCAAGCACATGCAGTTTATTCGACGCTAAATTATACAATTTCAAGGTCTTTCTGTGTGCAGTAAAGCAGGAATTTGCTGTTCACAACAGGCTTCCAAACGAGAAGCTTAGTTATAATACCTTAAAAGACACTCGATCGTAACTAACGGAGTGAATGGTATGCAATTAGATGTTGGCGATTTGCCAACGTTTCTGAATCACTTTTGGCGCTGGTCCAATATAGCGGACCTTTTTGTCGAAATCGATAATTATCTTATTTTGGTAAGTTTTTGTGAAGCCTCAGAAAACCATTTTTTTTACTCCAGTTATTGTTCGATAAAAATTTTCCATAGCACTAATTTTTTTAATTATGGCATTAAGAAAATAAAAAGAACACTGTTACGGCATTTTCGATATTTTACGCCATTAAAACGCTGAAAGTTGTGAAGAAACAATTGAGGGGCGGATGAGAGTTTTTGACTAATCGTAGAGTAGAGGCACCCTTGGAATGGGTTGACTAGTTTCTTCTTCAAAGCATAACAGAAAGGAAGATGATGCTCCACAGTTCTTTTTTATAAAAATGACTAAAAGATCTCGAAAGGTCTTTTACGGCCTGTACGCTGTAAAATGCTGAATGTGAAACATAAAGCCCGAACAGGTTCAAAAATTACATTAGAAATCTGTACTGAACTGAATTTTCATTTATTTTGCAGAAAGAGGTCAAAGGCTCTTCCAAATTTTTTTGTTTGGATCATGATGAAACCTGGAACAATGCAGTATTAAGATAGCATATTATTTGTTTATTCCTGCGGAAAAAATAGTTTCGTATCCATTAAAAAGTGGTTCACCTTCCTTGGCACTGCAGCTGTTTAGCCCTTTATTTTTATAGGACATTAGATAGTGAGGTTCACTGGACTGACGCCGCTTCTTATTTTGATCCTGGAAACAATCAATTTTACCGTATTTCTCATGGCATTTATCCTCTGTTGCCGTGCTAACACACGCTCAACACGTTACTGTTTTTCGTCAGAACGTGTTTTCAGTTGGATTACGTGTTGCCAAGATGGCTCCAAATCTCATAATTTCAGATTTTGGCACGCTTCCCACGTGGTATGGTTTCATGGTGATGTCCCTATAGGAATGCGTCGATGGAATAACATCGTCACGCAAAAGTCTTTATCTTATGGGATTAAAGCCAGACTTTCTCGAAGCTTTTGCAAATACTGTGATGGAACATGATAAGCTCCAGATCACGAATGCGAACATGCTTCTGAAAGAGCAAGATTCTTCTATGTTCGCTCTATGTTCACCAAGGATAGTTCACAAAAGTGGCCCACAATCGGATGTGAAAATTAACGGCTTACCGAACAGAGATGAAGTCTCCGATGTCTATCAGGGATCTAGTGATGTTCAACGACCTCTTCATGTCCAGGTCAACGGGTTCGGGAAGGTGAGCGGCTCATATTTTGGCTTTTTTTCCAATAGTAGCAGCTGCATTCATTTGTTTAGGCTCCGTCGCAGTCGGTTCCTTCGTCATCTTTATCAACACCTCTTCAACCTTCACCATCGCCACTAACATTGCAGGAAGGCTGCATTTCTGCGGCTAGTTCTTCACAGTCTCTGAAATCGTTAGGTAAGTTGGTTTAGTCTGGCTTTTCAGTGAGGAAAAGGTGTTTGCTACGCGGCGGCACAGCTAAGCTATGTCATATTTTGTCTCGACTCGTCTTTTAAGCTTCAAAATGCACCTCATGTTCCTGCTAGGTGAAAGACCACAAACAAACGTACACAGCGAGATAGAACCGTGCCACCGCATGTTCCCCTTTAACTGCTTTGACCCTTCCATGTGCGTTCGTACTTTGTGACTCGGCGCTTGGAGAATCATAACAGGTATCGACTGGTGCCCAGAATATTTATTCTAGCAAAACGCTAGCGACCGCGTCGATTCAGGGCTAGCTATCCTTTTCGCTCAATATTCTATTCCACTCAAAGCACTTATTCTCCCAAAACGCCGAGTGTGAACAAGACCTATAAATATACACGTTGTGCTTGGTCCAGGGCGCGATCGGAAGTGTATGCTTCCTCTTCAGTACTGTTACATATTACAGTTGCATAAACAGTTGTTAGTATATGCAAAAGAGCATGCGCTCGCAGACGAGTGATGTCTGAACCACTGGCCCGCATTTGGGTGGGCCACAGTCAGTTAACTCCAGTCTGTTAGTTCTACTCGTATTGTGCCTTAGGAGGTTGTTAGGTAGCACGTTTGTTTAAGATGGTCCATTGCTGGGAATGAATCAACGTCTACAGAAGCCGAAGGTCCCACCTTTCGAGTGAGTTGTCTGCTGCGGTGCGAGAGTATCAATTCTGAATAGTTGATAGCTATAAGGTCATATGAATTACGGAGTTGTAAAAAGAACAGATCGGTGCAAAACACCTGACAGAACATGCGTACCTCTATCTCAGTAAACTCTCTTTTTGTTATGTTTTAGTCGTTCTCTCTTGCTTTTTGAGCCTATAACGTTAAGCTTCTCCTACACCTGTACCATCACCAAGCAGCGGAAGTAAAGCGCAACCAGCAATATCGAAGACGACGGGAGCTGTTGGAGCTTCGTATGTAACCTCATATAAACGACTCACTCTATTAGGTTGGCGGGAAAGTTCTGTCACACTTTTTCGAACTCAAAATACTTGCCCATTACCTGAAGAGGGGTAACCGGTAATGTGAGCACTTATACATCAAGGAGTGGTCCTTCTACTAGTACCACTCGCTTGACTCCTGCTTCTTTGCGTGATGGACAAGAATTTCATCCGCTACCATCGGCACCGACCCCTCCAGACGCTTCCTCAAACTCTTTCTTCCACCACCCTGACGCCAGCATGATAGCTGCAGATGCCAAAATAATGGAGCTGAATAAGGACGATGCCCTCATTATCGGACAACCTTCCACGACGCTAATGCTTCAAAGCGGGAGCCTACAGTTTTGATGACGAAGTGAGGTTTGGGTTACCTGTGAACTCAGATTGAGGGAGCTGCGGGTCGTGAAAGTGCTGGATGAAGAAGCTGCTTCCTCGGTCAATGCGTACGCAAAGCAGCTACGAGATCTAAAGCGTACCGTCGATCAGAGGGAAAAATTTGTCCGCACAGCCCGCCCTCATCATGATAGTGCAGCGCACTCCGTCCAAAAAGTTCGAGCCGTACCTCATGCAATAGAGCTGGATGGCTCTCCCTTGCACTGGTGTAGCACAGACATTGCTCCTTCTAACTGCATGTTGCCTACGGTACTCAACCGTTATGTGGACAAGAAAACATCAGTTCAAGTCAAGATTGAGATGATGTCCAACTTTGTGTCGCGCCTCCCTGCATTGTGAAGCGATGGCATCCATGAGGTGCTCAAAAACTGGCAAGGACCCCGCAGTAACATTGCTGTACAATTTTGATCTTACACGCCTCTCTATAAAAAGGAAGCCTGAAAATGTGACAGAACTTTCCCGCCAACCTAATACTATCGATTTGAGGCTGTTAGCTCTCCTTTTCAGCTGGTGAATAGCATTGATATCCTTTGTTCAGGTCTTCATCCCAAGCCGCAAGCCAAGCATCAAGGCGAGAAGCTGAAGTGACTAGGCGGAAAACGGTTGTTGACAAGATAGTCAAAGGAAAGGAACGAAATGCCTTCAAGTTCTTTGTCTTTGGGGTTGGTTGTTAACAGATTTCAGTAACCGGTGACCTTCTTCGTTGCGTCCACGAATTTTTTTATGTGGTCCAGTTGTAGCTGTGATTTCTACGTCAACCTGCTGCATAGCTCGCTATCGACTTCTCCCTTAGTTGTTCGCGGGGGTCCAGTTACAGTGGCCTTACCCGAGAACCTCACCCCACTGATTGCGACAAGTGAACATCACCGCCGGCTTCCACTGAACGCTTTAGCGGCGCTACTCTTTGAGAATTACCAGCGCCGTGTGGTGGCAATGAAGGTGGTTAGGGGAGCGATTCCATATGATGCTTCTAATTTTGAACAATGTCCAGAGCAGGCGGTTGCCTCTGTAAAATCGGTCAAATACATAGGGGTCTGAAAGGGACGTCTGCATATAATAGGTGGTGTCCTTCATCTTTGCGTTTTATAGCGAAGGAATCGCGCTCGGCTTGAAAAGCGCCGGGCCAAATGGATTTGGCGCGACGCCAAACCAGTTGTTAAGGCAGGTAAGCGACAAAATTGGTGAAAAACGACTGGTGCGAACGATATTATGATAAAGTATTGTCGCTTGCTGTCTTCAACGACTGGTAAAAAATGGTTTTGACGCAGCGCCAAACTGAATCGCACTGATACGCCCCATATTCGCAACGAACAAGACTCTATTGATTTTATTGGTGCATACAGAAAAGATCGCCAAAACGGCCTGACGTTAGAAGGCGGTTTTTGCAAAAAAATGTCAAGACTCTGCATCTGACCGGGCGAAGATAGTACTAGCGACAAATGTTTCAAGCGAAAACGTCGATGTTTGAAATGTTTGCTAAAATGGCAACAATAAGAGAGGAAAATAGGAAATTTACAAAAGTGATGTAGAATCGGGATGTCCACCGCGTCAATCAATATTGCATGCAGTGCGTAATTCTGACGCGGGCTGCCCATCTTGGACGCGTTATAACGGCCCTAACAAACTGAACAGGACTAAACGTGTTCATTAATATGTGGCCTTTAAAGTGTACGCCTTCATTGTTGTCCTTGGTTTCTCGAGGCATGCGGATTAGAGCACGGTTTCTTGCGAGGAATGGCGTTATCCTCAAAGTAAGATTTGTTTTATTTTAAAACAGAGGGTATCTCCGCGCTGCGAATCGAAGCACCCTGGAGCAGGGCTTCACTGCCCTCTGACTGAGAAATACCAGTTTCTGCTTTTTTTTCACGTCCAAGCCATAATTAATCAGCTAGAACAAATTTGAGGGGTTTTGCGGGTCTGACGATCCAAAGCGGACGTCATCTGAAATCCAAGCATGTTATCTAGGTAGTATTGTCATATTTCAGTTCGAATCACAAACGCCAACCCAACTTGCCATGGCTGCCCGACGGCTAAAGAGCGTAGCTGATGAAAAACTACCAAGACACGTTCTTACAAGAGTCTATGGGGAAGAAGAATCGAAAAGCTCAAAGAGACGGATTACACAGACGCTACTATTGAGACACAGCAGACCCGCGTCCAATCTGGACGGTGACGACAGCACTGACCTTTCTGACATTGAAATCAAGGAAAAGTATGTATTTTCGAGTATGCTTCACTGTTTTAAAAAACCTTCTTTACTGAGGAGTGCTTTACGAATTGACCTTTCAGGGTTGATACCGTTGCTTCGAAATGGGGTCAGTTCAAAGCCACGATGAGCTCCGCATTCGCAAGGAACGCCGTCGAAATCGAGAGT